TGGGTTCTTAAAGGAGAAGACCACACTACACGCCTCTGCATACCTTCCCTCCTTGCCAATATCCCTATGCTCTAATGAATCTGTGAAGATGGACCCTCTGCAGTGTCTGTCAGCTCCACACAGAGCAACTTCCCTAGGATAGCACAAGGAGCTTTTTAGCCTCTTCAGACTTTTTGTCCCATGAATATGAGATTTAAATGCTCCCCATGTGGTCATATCACTACACTTGTAACTTCTATTCTTATTTTTAATAATTCCTGTGAATATTGGAATACTCTTTGGGCCATTCAGGGGTATGTTCAGGTTAATAAAAGAATTAGTAAAGACAGTGTCACAAGATTATTTGGGCAGCCTTTTTTTGTACCCATTCGTTCCTAATTTTGGCAAATTCAGCTCTGTTCAACATTTTGCAAGGACCCTGAATGCATGAATAAATGCATAAATGGAAAACAGCCATAGAATTTTAGCTAGAAAGCTGTTGAAGAGAGGGAGGAATTAGTTTTCTAAAAGTTTGTTTTCAAGTACAGGCATGAAATTCTACCTTATAAAACTTGTGAGGAAAATAACAAAACAGTGACTAGACTGTATTCTCTTTCACTGAGGTTCATTTTCTTGTTAGAAATTCTAATATAAATTCTTATTTCAATATTTCTCATGTAGTAGAGGTATTTTTCCTCTGTGATTCTCGATGTTCCAAAAATCATTCAGTTTTTTCTTTTTTTAGGTACCCTAATCTTGAAGCATTTTCGCTGGATGTCAGGCTTGTTTTTGACAACTGTGAAACTTTCAATGAAGATGATTCTGACATAGGCAGGGCTGGCCACAACATGAGGAAGTATTTTGAAAAAAAATGGACAGAGATTTTCAAAGTGAGCTGAAGCTACTAGGACTCTTTTTTTTCTTCTTTTTGTATTTCTTTTCCTTCCGTTAAATGAGGACTGATAAGACCAGCAATGTGAACTATATTTACATGGAAGTGCAAGGCACATACGTAACTAATTTTTTCCTTCAAAATATCACAGAGTTGTGATACTAGTTCTAAAGGCTTCACTCCTACAGCAACCATGGCCCCTTGGTTATTGGCTTGTGTGTTTTAACAAACTAATTTAGATAGAACAGGGAAGCACACCCAAAGAAATTCAAAGGAAGGGGTGTTAATAGTGCAATAGCAATTTATCAAAACGCACTGAATATTCAACCACCAGAGCTCTACTTGGGGAAATGGCTCTCTTTTCCCTTTCAATAAATATATATTTTTCATTTTTTACTTTGTAGTTTATTTTTTAGTGAATGTATTTAATTTTATGAATTATTTATGATTATACAGCATTCAGAATCTTCGTTTTCTGTGAAAAGGAAGAACTAGAAAATTGCTTTAAATGTTGAAAATACAACAAGGAATGTTTTAAAATATAAAACAAAGCCAAGTAAAACTGTTTACACTGATGTGCTGTGAAGGCACTAAAAATTAAACTTTACTGTAGAGTTACAAGTACATTTATATATATGTTGCTGCATCACTTGTGTAGTTAAATTGTATTTCAAGACAGTGAAGAAAAATTGAGACATGTATATACTGTTCATTATTGTTTATATTAAGTCTTGTTTTAAATATGTATGATGTGTACATATTGTTTGCAACATTATTGTTTATGCCTTAGGAGGATGGTAGCATTTTATTTTAGTCTTAAGGTAATTATAGCTCTATGGCTTGTACAGTAATTATCCTCTACCAACACTGTGGAGTCTCCTTAATCTTGGTAGTGCCTGCCTTTAAAACAGGGTGTAGGGGATATTAGTTTTCCATTTTTTCTATTTTGTTATATAATTTCAAGCCCCCACGGCCTAAAATCCAAGTATAATCATTTGTATCCATGTGGAAGAAAATTGTGACAATTTCCTACGCACACAGTATTTTTTCATAGAAACATTTCCTCCATTTGCCTTGCCACAGAATAACAAAAGAAGACATTTGTAACCACTGTGTTTTATCTACTGTGTGTTGTGGTGGCCTGTTGGGGCAGATAGATTGGAATTTTTTTTTTGTACTAATGTAAGAGTACTTGAAGTTTTATTTAAAAGAAATGTTGTGGAAAGGTAGCATTCTTTTTCTTTTCCCTTTTTTGGAGTGTTATTTTTCACTAGTATGTGTGGCACGGATACAATAAAAGACTGTTTTGCAAACCAGATTTTCTGGACAATTTTAATACTTCAGGTCGGATGTATACAGGTTTTTTGGTTTGGGGTATTTTTTAGATAATATCCTGGGAGTCTTGCATTTAACACTGAGTTCTTTTTATGATTCATCTAATTCTCTTGGGCTTTTAATGGTAATTCATAAGGAAGCAATTACCAAGCAGTCAGAGAGCAATTCCCTGCCTGTAAATAACGGAGGTGTGCAAGGTTGATCACTGTCCTTATGGACATGGAAATGCTCGTTTGGTCATGTTTCTGAAAACTGCTGTCCATGTAAGGTTCTGTCCCTTTTTTGGCCTGTAGAAGGGCATTAATCATAATCCTTGCTCTGACTGAAGAAAATACAGAAATTACAAACAGATATTGTGGAACCACAAATACCTGTAGTTCTCTCAAAATAATGTTGGGAGTGTTGGTTTTTGCTTTTAAACTAGGTCTGCCATGTTTGAGTCTTAGTGCCTATTTTTAAATTAATGTTTCCATTGCTCTCCACAGAATATCTTGGTTGGTAATATTTTCCTTCATTCCAAAGTTCTGTTAGATTTATCTTTATTACTTTGAAAAAAAAATCATATTTGGCTGTCAGAGAGTCTTGCATGCTAACATGAACTCCCACTGACTGCTCCATGCCTTTCCTTTTCATGACCTTTCTGAAGACTTCAGTAAAGAGGTTTGCTGACATGTACCAGAGATGTGAAGATTAATCACTGTTTTGAATTTATGATGGTAATCTTGTAAGAAGGTGTTATAAATATGCTTAGGTATTCGAGAAAGCTAGCTCTTGAATGATATTTTTTTTTCAGATTCTGTGCTGGTTAATGCTTTGTCTGCAATACTAGAACTGTTAGTTTTCTGAAATATCAGACAGGTTACCAGCTTCTTGACATACAATATCTATAAAATAAGTTGCATTTTTTCAGTTTGTATCCCAATTCAGCTGAACAGCTGGGAAGGTGGCAACATCTACTGCTATAGTGATGACAGTGAGACAAACATCACCTCTAACTTGACATGGTCAGTGTATCGCTTTCCTTGCTAACAGCCAGTGTCTTCATTACTCTTGCAGTAAAATTAGATTTACAGGAAATACTATATTTGGATGGCAAGTTTGAGTCATGCATATGCCCCCTCATATATCCATAGAAAAGAGCAGGGATTTAACCACTAGAAAAATGTTTGTAACATTTCTCTTTGCTAATTTTCTCTCCTGTTGATGTTTGTATGTTTTCTTAAGAGGAAAAATTTTCCAGTGTGCTCTGATCCTTTCTGAACATAGTGTGCCAATCTTTGTTTACAGAATTTATTCTGAAACTTTCAAACTTACTATTTTATAAATACTGTAATGGCACTTAATGAAGAGTGTTATGGTGGAGTGTGAGTTCTCTTTTGTCTCGTCATCTCTTTGGAAAAAATGGGATGATAAAAAAGCAGCTGAAAATCAAAATATGTATCTTTAAAAGGTGGTCTAAAGCCTTCTTTTTAATAGTGTCTGTCACCTAGTATTCAGAACAATGAAAAGCCAGTCTTCAGCCGTGGATTGCAGTGTGCAATCAAATAAAGTGCTAAACAGAGCGTGAGATGGTCCAGACTAACCACAGAAGGCCGATCATTGAGGGCATGATTCCTGGGCACAGTGACTCCGAGAAAGTGACTTTGTTTTCCTTAAAATATGTAGGTGCCAGCTAAAGCATTTATTACGCATGAGTTGCTGAGCATGTGTGTGAAGAGGGGAGAGGGCGATGGTGTAAGTTACCTGGCGGGCTGCTGGGCCTGGGGGAGCACTCTTTCTTGGAACTGCCTTAGGTTCTGCTGGCTGCTGTCGTGTGGCGGGCCGAGGCCTGGCTGAGGCGGTCACCGTGTCGATCCCGGCAGCGGAGCGCGGCCCCGCTGCCCGCTCGGACACGGCTGGCGCTCGGCGGCGCTCCAACGTGAGGGCGCGGCAGCGGCTGGGACAGCGTGCGGCCCCGCCGACATCCCACAGGCGCGGGGGTTCGTGCCAGGGCAGCCACAGCGCCGGCCGCTGCCGTGCGGCTCCGGGCCGGAGCTGAGGGCGCCGAGAGCTGAAGGTCGCACGATCTGCGCCCGCGCTGCCTCGGGCCGGGACCGATAGCGGCGGTGAGAGCGGGAAACGCAGCGCGGCTCCCCCCACGCCCACCGCGCAGTGGCGTGGCCCGGACGGGGCTGGTTGGCCCGGACCGCACTATGCCGGGAGGCCGGGGGGGCACCGCGCGTGCGCGGCTCCCTGGGCCGTGCCGGTGCGGCCGAGCCCGAGGCGCCGCGGGCGGAGCGCGGGAGGTGCGGGCGGGATCCCCTCATGGCCGGCCGGGCGGGGCCCCAAGCAGCCGAGGCAGGCTCTTGTTTACCCGACACATGCCGCTGGAGCTCGGGCTGACCCCGCCGGCCTTCCGAGCGCGTCCGGGCCGCGCTGCCGACGCGGTGGGTTGGGTGGGACTAGGCTGCGGGAATGAGCAAGAAGGGAAAGGCTGCCAGCCGTGCCGAGAATTGCTGTAGCTCTTCCTGTTGGCCGGTGCATTATGAAGATAAATACGTAATTGCCAGAGGAGATGGTGCTGTGGTGCTGAACGTCTCTGGTGACGAATGCTCCCGCTGCTCCTAGCTCCCTCAGTGCATTTATTGTTACTTAAACCTCACGTTCTTAGGTTTGCTTTTCTGCAGTGAGCTCCTGAAAGCCTCCTGACAGTGAGATCAAGGTGCCTTTTTCAGCTCATCTTTCCAGATGTTAAGCTTTCTCTGACTCTTCGGTTTCTCATAGCTGAAGAAAGTATATTTATTTTCTTTCTGCAGCTAAGATATGTTATTGATACTACTTCATTTGTATAATGATTTCAAAGAGAGTGGTAGTAAGACTGAGCATCCTGAAGCTAAAGCAGGTAGTATTCAACGATCTTGTCTAACTAAATCAGTGTCATACACTGTCTGAAGAGAGCAAGCCCTTACATATGCACCTTTGTGTCTGTGTGTATATGTACATAACTCTGCATATGTGTGCATACATTTATACATTCTTACATGTCCACATGCATGCAAACGTGTCTGTGCGTATGTTTCTATGTTAAAAAAAAAAAGTGAGTATATATGGTTTTGTTCACAGATACCTCAGCACTGAAATTATTATTCACTTACCTAAAATAGCAGACTATATATAAGTTAACTCAATATAAATAGTATTACTGTTTTTTTTTTTTCATTATAAACAACTTATAAGAACTGTAGTGACTTCATTTTTGAAGGCTCTGTGCATTTATTCTCAGGAAAGTTGTCTGTGATCTGCAGCATGGGGAGTAACTGGTTGAAATGTACCTCTTCGGGGATTTCCCTGACCTCCCAGTGTAAATCACTTTTCTGATACAATTTAAACTGGTTCTAGCAGTTTTGCATCCCGGGAAAATGCGTGTGTTCACATTGCCTTTTGTTGTTCTGTGTAGCAGCAAATGCAATTACTGGAGAGGTTCCAATGCTGATCACCCAATTAATATTCACATTTTGACTTAAATGTTTTAGTCAGTCTGGTCAAACTTTGGATTGGCAACACAAGTATGTGTTATTGGGCTGATGTTTTGCCATCGCTACTGTTGCTATCTGTGAAAGTAAGTAGAAGAGAGCTCTTGGACAAAGTCAAATTAAAAGGAAGAGGATGCAAGCAAGGACAGGTCGACTGGGAGGACTACAGAGAGATCTTTCAAGCAGTCAGGGATTAGGTTGGGAAGGCTAAAGTCCTGATGGAATTAAATCCAGCCAGGGATGTCAGGGGCAACAAGAAAAGCTTTAATATATATGTTGGTGATAAAAGGAAGATTAGGAGAAATGTGGGCCCCCTCTGGAAGGAAACAGGAGATCTGGTTACCCAAGACTTGGAGAAGGCTAAGGTACTCAGTAACTTGTTTCAGTCTTCACTGGTAAGTGCCACAAAAAGGCTGGAGAGAGTCTTTTTACAAGGGCATGCAGTGATAGAAAGGGGGATGGATTTAAACTGAGAGCAGGTTTATATTAGAGATTAGGAAGAAATTCTGGACTGTGAAGGTAGTGAAGCCCTGGCACAGGGTGCCCAGAGAAGCTGTGGCTGCCCCATCCCTAGAAACATTCAAGGCCAGGCTGGGTGGGGCTTGGAGCAACCTGGGATAGGGGAAGGTGTCCCTGCCTATGGCAGGGGGTGGAACTGCATGGGCTTGAAGGTCCCTTTCAACCCAGACTAATCTGTGATATTATGATTCTCTGCTTAAGCAATGCTAGGTGAAAAACCTATCTTTGCAAATGGGTTTTTCTTTCTTTTTTTTTTTTCTTTCAGAATTTTTCTTGCTAAGGTAGTATGTTTCATTTATGGAACAGGAACATTAAGTCTCTTAAACTCTTTTTCAGATTTCTATTTTTTCAAATGGCGACATTAATTCACACTTTAGCAGATCATAGTGATGATGTTAATTACTGTGCCTTCTCATCGTCGTGCTTGGCTACATGTTCCTTGGACAAAACAATTCGCGTTTATTCTTTGAGCAACTTCGCTGAGCTCCCGTACTCACCGTTGGAGGGTCACGCGTACGCCGTGCACTGCTGCTGCTTCTCGCCGTCGGGCCTGGTGCTGGCCTCGTGCTCCACGGACGGCACCTCGGTGCTGTGGGACACCCGCAATGGCCACAGGCTGGCCGTGCTGGAGCAGCCCGGGGCCAGCCCCGTCAGGGTCTGCCGCTTCTCTCCCGAGGCCGCTTATCTCTTGGCAGGGGCAGCGGATGGCAGCGTGGTTCTCTGGAACGTGCAGTCCATGAAACTCTACCGGTGAGTCTCAAATAGTTTTTGATAAATACTTTGTTTTGAGGTGAATATAGTTCAAGCAGTATGCTGTACTGTATATAAGATATGCAGACTTACACCACCGATGGATATCACAAAGGAATGGCGATAGGATTTGGATGACCAAAAGATTATCAACAAGAGAGGGATAAGTGCTAAGTAGCTTTCTGTTTTTTTAAATTAAACAATGTGAAGTCAAGAAGCTTTAATTTTTGCGAAGTTATCGTACATCTAAATCCTGATTTTTTAAGTTTCTTTCATTGATTTAACATGAGATCAGAATGCATTGTGTCTGGTTTCTAAACAGTGGGTCAGCAAACTGTGGTACATAATACACAGTTAGTGGAGGCTGACTGTACAGTGTGCTTTGTATTGCATCACACACAGTAGTATAAATTAAATGTTTAATTACTAGAAGTTTTGAGTCCAGGAAGCTCCTAGAAGTTTGCTGGTAATCCAGCAACCAGAGTTTGGAAACTATGGACTGTCTTGAAACTGTACATGTTAAGAGAAAAAGTGACTAAAAGAAGTATTGGTGCTAAATAAGTTAAGCTTGAGAGTCAACATTTCACATAGGTTTCCAAGATGAGCATATTTATTGGTGTTGCACAGATAAAGGCATGAACCTTAGAGCTATCTGCAGAGTCCTCCTCTACATCTCTGTCTTCCAGTGAAGTCTTTAGGCCAGTTGTTGTAATGTGTATTTGGGCAAGACATTATTTAGGTTTTAGGGCTTATTACACAACTGAATTTCTCTCTAAAGTTAGAAAGGAAGTTAAGAATTTAAGCAAACTGGTGTTTCATTCAGGATTGAGGGAGCAGCTGTTTCTGAAAGACAGAATTGTTTGATGTTGGTAGTTCCCTGTCAAGCATGTCCCTCATTTTGTGGCATCTTTGCCTTCCACAGCAGTGATTTATGTGGGAACTGATAACCTATTATTTCCTAGTTTTATCTTTAAGAAAAATCGGGAAATTCAGTCATTAGTATTCTAAAATCTGAGGGCTTATTTGTTTTGAGACATTACTAGTGAAGAGATTATATATTTTTTTATTCAGAATGCTTGTTGCTGAAGGGAAAAACCAAGAAATATGAAAACATTTCTTACAATTGTACACTCTTAATACATGCAGTGATGCATGTTTTAGACCTACATCCTAATTTTCTTCTAGTTGAATGGTGGATGTATAATGGCTACTTAGAAACTATATTGTTATTACAAGCAGAAATTATTCTGCTTTGGTGTTTTCATTATAGAGAAATAAAAAAAACTTGAACATTTTGATCCTGTCCCCTTCAACTATTAAAAATGTATTTCAGAGTGTTAACAACAGTTAATTGTTAACAGGCCAGCAGTAGGCAACTTAACTTTATATCTATTTTGGGATATGTATGTATTTTCAACTGATGAATATTTTTATTGTGATTTGTAATTGCAGGTAGAAAAATGCATGTCCTGTTTTTAATAGTTGAAATCAGTATAACATAGAAATCAAAAAAGTACTTAAAAATTATGTCAGAGGAAGTTAGTTAACCATTTAATATCAATCTGTAGTCCTCTGTTTCTTTTGAAATAGTTGACTGTGTTGATGCTGAAAATGAGAAAACATTTGACTACACTGCTTTTTCACTTGACTAAATATATAGATGGTAATTGTAATAAAATTACATAAAATTTGCTCCTTATCTATTCAGCTATTGTAATTGACAATTCAAATTGTGAAGGAAGGTGGCTAGTTATATAAGTGCTATGGTCAATGTGAACAATAGGAAAGCAAGTTGACTTTTGTGTGTTTCTTACTGGTTTTTATTTCCTGTTCAGTAGTAATTTACAAAACTGATAATTGGCCTGCAAATTTTAAATGCATGCACAATGCTGTTTATTTTACTGTTGCTTTCAGAGCAGAATCTGCAACTTTTTGTGTGAAAGAAGGAAAGTTGTAAAAGCTACACTAAACAAAAAGGATTGTACATATAAAAATGGGAAGCACTGTATTGGATTTGATAGTATTCTTAATAAAAGAATTAAGGGAGACAATGTTTTTTGGAAGGTCATGGGTCTGATTAATGTGACACTGAGGAAAATTAAATTGCCTTGTCTTCTATGACATTAAGTTTGACACCTCTGGCAGTAAATAAAATTTCTGTCAGTCATTAGCAGCTGTTCTATGAAGTATGATCACAGAGTAAATAGGACTGACATTTCTTGTCATGTGACATTTCTCATGGCTGTGATTTTCTCCCCACACTTAAAGACTCTGCTTGGCTGGATCTGGTGTTCATTAAAATGAGTGAGATTCTTTTGACTGACTTTAGGTTATCAGATAATGTAAAGGATGTCAGGCTGACTCCACTTCCTTCCTGAGAGTTGACCACACTTCCATATCTGCTGGAAATTTTCTTTGAAGATCAGTTTTACAAAGTGCTTTGGGTGACTTAATTAAAATACAGAATTTCTTTTCCACATTGCTTTCTCTTGTGTACAAGTGGTGCAAAATTAATCCTGCATCATAAATCACAAAGTATTCTACTCAGCTACAGCTTATTATATGGGCTAGTATGTGGTCTCTTTTGTCTCTAAAACCAGAAGAATTGTCAGTCTTTTTCCCCCTTGTTTGTGTACATGTAAATCTGTGTTAATTATAGCGTATATTTATATTTGACTTTTAAAATGTATCCTGACACAGAATTTTAACAGTGCATTGGGCCTTTTAAGTGTTAAATCCATGCAAATTGTCTTTAGTTTGAAAATTATTTTATCACTCAGTTAAAATTATTGCCTTGGGCCTCCATGTCATGCTTTCCTCCTGCTGTCAAAGAGTCGGAATGGTCCCTCCTGCAGAGTTTATTTTGCTCTCTTTTTATAGTTGGTTTGAGTTTCTCTTTCCTCTGTTAGCTAGTTCCAACGTGCAAACCTTAGAGGAGTTCGGCTTACTGTGTCAGACTGCATTTGAGAGATCACTTTGTAGAATTTTACCTACTCTGAGTTCAAATCCTGTGTACTCTTGCTTTTCAGATCCGGGAAAGTTAAAGGTGGCTCTTTGATGGCTTGTGCATTTTCTCCCAATGGAAACTTCTTTGTCACTGGATCATCAAGTGGTGATTTAACCATTTGGGATGATAAAATGAGATGCCTGTATAATGAAAAAGCACATGATCTTGGCGTTACCTGCTGTGATATTTCTTCACATCCAGTATCTGGTTAGTTATCCAACTCATCAGAGGAGGAACATTTAAAAAAAGAAAGATTTATTTCTCCCTAGCTCTTGTTTTCGTATTCTTTTTGCCATTGGTGCTTAAGATACAAATGACCTTGTTAAGAGCTGATGTTTTGGAATATTCTTAATATTCTTAAGTAAAGGTTGTGGTCAGGTTGGTGGGAAGGAATGTACTAGCTCAACAAACAAGGTGATAACTTTGAGTAGCTAACTACTCCCACGGCAGACAAGGGTTTTAGGAGATGCGGTGTATGATTACCATTCCCTGACTCATACTTCGGTTCCCAAGGAGCAGGACTGGATTAAAACAATGCAGAGATCTGTAAACGTAATGAGCTAAATGCTTGAACTGTGGCATATGAACAGATAGCTATTTTCCTGCACCTGACTTTGTCATTTAGAGGAATTTGGGGGAGTAATGAGCCCAGAATCTCCTGTATTCCATTAAGATGTTCAAAACTCTTGGAGCTGTTTTAGCATTTGATCACACAATCATTTACTTCTAATGGAGGTTAGGAAATTGGGAAGAAACCTCTTTGTCAGCTTTAGGAAGTAATGCAGCAACTTGACTTAACAACTTTGTGTGTATACTTGTGTGTATACTTTTGTGCTTTCTAGATCTACTATTGAGACAAAGTGATCTTTATAGACATATTTAGGCTTTTGTATTCAGAATACTCAAACTGCTCCTTCAAAGGCCCCAAAAGTTAAAACTGGGCAGCCACTTGCATCTTCAAGTGCTGAACTCAGCAGTAAGTACTGCTGTCTGTGTACCACCCTGTCTAAGGAGGTGGTGCAGAGTAGGAAGAAAACAGGAGAAAAACAGTAGGGAAGAAAGCAGGAGGAACCTGAGGAAGAAAACTCCATTGTGAACTAAGAGTTGCTTCTGAGGGCAAAAAATACGTTGCAGCTGAAACAGATCAGAGTGTAATTTCCACCACTCCACTTCATATTGAGATTATTCTCTTGGTTTAAAAATTACAGTCTTCTGCCAAGATAAATAGGCAACAAAACAGATATTTATTGCACTGTGGATTTGTTCTGGCTGATTTATCATAATTCTTGATTTTTTAATCTATGTATTATTGAAAGTGAATATATTTCCTTTTGTGTGGTGTTGTTTAATCATCAACCTTCTGGGATTTTTGGCAGATTTAACACATTATGAAATGCATACAAGTAGTGCTTATCCAGTACAATTAGAGATAGTTTTAAACTGAGACTCTCTTTGCCTGCTTAATTCAGAGCAAGTTGTGATCCAGAGTGTCTGATAGGTTCTTTGTGCTTTAGGCTGTAACAGGTGGTTCTTCTGCCTTTGAAGTGGATTCAGTTACAGTTGCCTAGGATCTCATGGGGTCTAGAGCAGTGGTGCTGGATTTTGGTGGAGTACCAAACTCCACCACAACTTAAGGTGGAATTTGGTACCATATTAAGGAATATAGGTCAGGTAAGGAGTAGAGGCAGGCTCCTGAGCTTTAGGAAGGCAGATTCCAGCTCTTAAGGGAGGTTGTCAGTAGGATCCCCTGGGAGACTGCCCTTAGGGACAAGGGAATGGAAGAGTTGGCAGATCTTTAGGAAAGTCTTCTACTGAGTGCAAGTCAGTGGTCCCCAGGAGTCAGAAATTGGACAAGGAGGGCAAGAGACTTGAATCACTGAGTCAAGAACTGCTGGTCAAACTAAAAGACAAGAAGCAAATGCACAGGCAGTGGGAACAAAGACGTGTATCCTGGGAAAAGTGTAGAGGTGAATTATAGTTGTGTAGGGAGGGGGTGAGGAAGGCCGGGGTGATGCTGGAACTGAACCTGGTAAATGGTTCAGGCCATGTTCACAGCCTCTCACCCAGCAGCACCCCCAAATCCTTCTTGGCAGGGCTGGTCTCTGCCTGTTCACCCCACAGCTTGGACTGCCACTGGGGCTTGCCCCAGTCCGATTGCCACACCAGCACCTGAGGTTCCCAGGGGTCAGCGCTCGAGCTTGTCCATATCCCTCTGGGGTCCTCCCAGATCCTTGTCCTTCTTGTGTCCCCTGCACCACTCAGCTTGATGTCGTCTGCACATTTTCTAAGGGTGTGCTTGCTTCCTTCTTGCTGCCTATTAAATATCTAAATGAAGATATTAAGTAGCATTGTTCTCAACACAGAACCGTGAGGGACACCACTGGTCCATTGGGACTCTGAGCCATGGAGCACTACCCTCTGGTTGCAACCATCCAACAACTTTCTTATGCATCTAACAGTCCACTCATGGATCATGATAATTCAGAGATGTTCATAGCCACTGAATCAGGAAGGGAAAGCTATGAATCTATTATTGTTGTATTTCACACTTAATGCAGTATTTACCGAGTATTTGTCTGGACTGCAGTCATGAAATGTCAGTTTGTAAAAGTGAAAAGTTGAATGTGTAAAAGTATGAAAATTCCCTGTCAGATACTCTCAAATTTTGTACGTGTATGTGGTTTATTTTGAGAATTGCGGAACTGTAGGAAAAATGGGTATAACTATATAAGTTAGATTTAAAGACTGTAGTGGAATAATCAGAGGATTCAAACATTTCCCACCAAGAAAAAACATGAGCACAGCTCTGGTCATTATCTACTTATTCAGAAAAGAGTATAATGATACCTATTTCTTACGTCCAAACTGTTTTAGAACTTCTGCAATGATTTTTATCTGATGTAGTTTACTGATCTGCTGTTATTTTCAGTGTTTCTGACTACCATTTATATATTTTAATTTTATCAGATAGTGAAAATGGATGCAAATACTTCCAGATGGCTTCCTGTGGACAAGATAATCATATCAAACTCTGGCTTATTTTGTTTGCAGATTTCTTAGGTTTGTATAGAAGTGTTTTTTGAATATACCAATGTCTTAGGTCTTTAGTGACAATTTAAATCAAAAATCAAATTTATACTACTGGATTCACAGCCAAACTAACCACAAGTTGAAAGTTTTCTTTAATTATTAGCTGGAGAACAGCTAAGGTATCCAGCAATTTGTGATGCGGGGCCATGTAGATTGTATTTAGCAATCTATTTATCAACAAGTATTGAAAGTACAGATTTAAAAAAAAATTCTACTGTGGCCTTTTAACAGGTTGATAGGTTGAAACCTCTTAATCTGCCTGGTCAGGGAGATATTTGTTTTCATGTTTCATGTTTTACCTGGGCCTTGAATAAGAGCTGGAGAAAAGAATGTTGACTCCTGCAAAAACCATGTAGAGACTAAGTAAATTGCCAAAAAATTATTCAGTGGGTACTTTTTTTGTAATCTCCTTTATATAAAAGTAGGTAAGGATTAATATTGTGTGTCCATATACACACTTAATTATCTAAAACCTTTTGAGACATGCTAAGACTACAAAGTGATAAAGTTGGAGATATTCAAAGGGGAAGTTGTGTCTGTGATCTTTGTATCCCCTTTTTTGTATGTTACAGAGTCACATTGGTGGAGCTTTGGGCTTCTTAAAGCAGCTTCTATTATACCTTGTCAAATATAGCCATATGTAATAATTTACTTTTTGTGTTTTTAGGTGTTCAGTTAAAATATAAATGCACACTGAATGGGCACTCTGCCCCAGTTCTGGCTTGTGCATTTTCATGTGATGGACAGATGATAGTCTCGGGGTAAGCAGCACCTTGTTGAAATGCCTGGCTGTCTAGATTCATGCTTCAATATTGTAAAACAGAAAGTTCAGAAGAGTTAAATATTTCTAAATATTTATTATCAATAATTAAAGAATAGTTCTGTGACCTCTAGGGCTGTTGAAGTGTCTTTGCAATCAGTCTGTGTCTTGTAGGCAATTGAGTTTGAAATCTTGGGTTGTGGAAAAGGTTAATGAAACACTTTCCTTTTCCTTCTCTGCATCATTTTAATGTCAATGTATTTTTTTAAGGTCTGTGGACAAGTGCGTCATAATCTATGAAACTGTAAGTATGGCATAATACAGGATCATTTGTTTGGGTGTTGTCTTTAAATATAAGCACTGCTTCTGCAGTGTTGTATCAATGAAAAAATACTAAAGAATACAAATTATACTAAGCCAAAATACTTACTGAGCATATGGAGGCAGGAGGGGAAGGAGTCTAAGGAAAAATATCTCCTAAGAGTTGATCAGTCTTTCTCACTTTTTTATTTACATTGTGAGGATTTGTCAGTTGATTTCTCTGCAGTAGGGTGTTACTCAGTTAATTCCATACTTACTAGTATTACAAGATTCATATTGAGGTGGAAGGATTTTTTTCTTATCCTAACTTTAGCTTAGCTTTCAAAGCAAGGAAGACTGTATCTTTTGACATAAAATCAGGAATGGTGAACATAGAAATTTTGTAGTTAGTTATATGTAAAGTGCACATAAAATAGAAGCATAATAAAGAATTCAAGAAAATTTTTATATTAAGTATAATGTCTTTAACCTATTGTTTAAGCATTTTCTATAATAACATTATCTCCTTTATGATTCACCTGTAAGTGGTATTTATACCTGTAGTACTTTATAGTATTAAAAATAAGAATTTTGCTGAAAATGAAGGATGAACAGATTTTAAACTTCTTCAGTTTGCTCAGCACATACTTGTATTGATACAATTTTAAAATTAGAATTACAGTTTTTCACCAAAATCACTAATATAATACATGCACAGTTTTTGGCCCAGTTATTTTAGTAGTTTGAAGTTTAGACAGGTATGTAAGATGTCCTCTAGAGTTCAGGAGCCTCAGAAAATTGGAAGATGAAGGAAAGCCTAAATATTTCTTAATACTGTTCATCAGCTTTTATGGCCTTAGGTTTTTATCAAATGGGACAATAACATTTCTAGTTCTGAAATTCTCCTTTGGGAATACTCAAAACCTGCCTAGACACCTGCACCTAGCTTTAGCAGCGGGGTTGGACTATATGATCTCCAGAGGTCCCCAACCGTCCTGTGATTCTGTGGGGAAAAGTAGGGACAATTAACTTTTCTGGGAGGGAGAGAGATTTCAACCTATATTAGGGAACTTTGGTCATGTTGGACAACTCAAAATACTGGAGTGCTGACTGATCAATTAGTGATTCAGAATCGTTTTGCTTATCATCTTTCCAACCTGTCTGTACCTGTCAAAGAAATGCAATTTTTCATAGGAGGGAGAATCTTTCCATGATAAATTAAAACTGCCAAGATTCAGGAATTTCATTTTTCAGTTAGTATTTATTGGCCAAATAGAGAATAGGCCAAATAGGTGTGGTTAATTATTGGTCCAATTGAAGGCTTGTGGGTTGACCCCCACAATGACCCTTTTGGTTGTTTCTAATACAAGATTTGTAGAAAGAATGTCTTTATCTACACAACCAACCAGCCAATATGGATTTAATTCAGTCTGTGCTCCTGGCACTCTTCTCCCTGCATGTTCCTTGCTGGCTGATTGTGCAGGGTAACAGTACTCCAGGGAATCGAACAGGGGCTTAAAGCAGGAATTTCAAGTTGCGTTTCTGACTCTGCTGCTGATCAGCTTTGTCAAGGCTGTGTAACTTCTCTGAAAGTACTTTCTGTACCTTGTGTTTCAAGAAGCAATAGTCCCTGTTTTGAAAGGAAGCAAACAAGTGAAGAAACACTTTTTTTATCCTTTAAGATTTAAAATCATAAAAAATCTTTTACAGAGTACTGGCAATACCCTTCATACTTTGTCTCAGCATACAAGGTAAGAAATCAGCATGATTATTCTGTTTCATAAATAAAATAAATCCTTTTCTAATGAATTTTCAGACTTTTTTTTTATTTATTTGTAGATATGTTACAACTTGTGCTTTTGCACCACATAGTCCCTTACTTGCCACAGGCTCAATGGATAAAACTGTGCACATATGGCAGCTTGACCTTAAGCAACCCTGTGCAGGTCAGTGTGTGAAGTATTTGAAATCTGTTCTTTAAATTCAAAACACCTTCTGAAGATGCAAAAATCCCTTATTCTTACCTGCACTTAATGTGTAACATCAGGATTGTGTACATGCTTTTTATCGTCTAATTAACCTGATTAATGCCCAGAAGAGGTATTCTCTTTTTGTTATTTTGTAAAGAAAAATATGCTAGACATATCTATATCTGTTTTTCTGATATTTGCAATTGCTTATTCTTTGGACAGCATTTAAGAGATGAATGTTATTGCCAGAGTGTTTGAAGATTTCTTGGACAGCCATAATTTGTGATGAGTTGAAAATATGCTAATTGCAAGTGTAATTGTCATTTAGAAATGCACTTTACAAGTTATTATAGCTGAAAAGCTAATTGTACTAATGACATTAGTGCCATTAATATAGGTTAACTAATGGTACAAATTACACCAGTACCTAAAGTTTGTGGAACAAAGGTACAGATTGTCTTTGTTCAAAGCACACAGTAGATTTGGATTTTGGTGTGCCTTCTAAGGATGTGCAAGATGATTCCAGTGTCTAGCACTTTTTTAGTTATTTGTTCAATTCAAATTTGACAGAAGTCTAGGCATCTAAGATATTAATTCCTCTAAATTTTGAAAACTCACAGGTAAAAGATAAATCCAAATTACTGTCCTCCCTCACAAAGCAATGTCTAAGAAGCATTTATTTTCTAAGATGAAGAATGTATAGTACTGAGAACACTTAAAAACGGGATCTATTAATGACATTGTTTCTTTGAACTGAGAATTTAATTTTATTTTTTTTTTTACTTTTGGGGGGTTATGGTGAGGTTTTTTTGTGGGGGAGCGGGGGATGGTGTTGTTTGTTTTTAATTTGGTTGTTTGTTTTGTTTTTTAACTTTTTCATTTTCAAAGGAGATACTACAGAAAATGAATCAAAGGTGGCTATTGAGGACTGGTCAGAGGATGATGTTTCAGCCTGGCTCTGTGCACAGGATTTAGCAGACTTTGTTGGACTTTTCAAAATGAATAATATTGATGGGAAGGAACTACTGAATCTTACTAAGGAAAGTCTTGCTAATGAATTAAAAATTGGTAAGAGTGTTGAAATCCAAATAGTTTTTAATCTCTAGAGTACTTTGAAATGTTAGAATGAAAGCAAGCTAGGAGTTCGATACATGGGGTTTTTCCCCATGAAATGCCTTTTTTATTTAATTTTCAGGACTGTTAAAAACCCCCTTATGTTACATTGTCCACGGTATTCCTTTTTTTTTGTGTGTGTGTTTGCTCATACCTGGAGACATACAATGCCCTTCTACTAGTGATGCTGTTAAATGGTCTTACCTGATTTTGTTTCTATTTTCCTTGTTCAATCTTGTATAATTAAGGTGTGGAAAAGGAATTTCAGATTTTCTCTATAATTCATGTTTCTCACTTTGGTAAATAGGGTGGTCTATAGTTTTTCCTATCAGTCTGCAGAAGTGCCATGTTTAGAATTGCAGGTGTTCACCAACCTTTCACTGAGTCGAACAGTGAAATTCCTAAGCATGCATTTGATGATGACTTTTGGTAAGGACCAAGCAAAGCTTGCCTGGCTCAGGCAATTTCTAATATATCAGGTTCATACACTCTTCTATTGCTCTATTGCAAAACTGTGATTACATTTTAGACGGACTCAAAAGATAGTGAACTGCACTGGAACTTTCAAAATGCAAGTTTTCTATTAACGGACCTCTTTGCTTTACCTCTCTATACTGTCCACTTCATGTACAAATAATTTTTCAGAGTCTCTAGGCCTGCGCAGTAAAGTTCTCCAGAAAATTGAAGAACTGAGGATGACAATGATCTCGGTTGCTGTTCCTGATGAGTTCTTATGTCCTATAACAAGAGAGCTTATGATTGATCCTGTCATTGCCACAGGTATGTCTTTACATGAAATGGATTAAAACTAATTACCTGTAGGTAAACATAGGCCCATTTTTGTGATCCCAAGCCTATTTTAACATCAGACCTAGAAAGATAAACTATTCTAAATAGCTGTTGCAACAAACAAGAATTGTGATAAACATATAATTTGCTGAATTACAGCTCTGATATGGAGAAAAATACTGTATCAAGCAACTTCTTCCTTTTCATAATGACCACCTTTATGTGCCTTTGTAAATATAATAACAAGCCTAATTACAGTGTTGGCTCAGTAGGTGCAAAATGAAATTGTGCATTCAGTGGGGCAAAAAGCAAACAAACAAACCAAACAAGCCCCACCCCCTCACCCCCCCCCCAAAAAAAATAAAACCAAAAAATAAAACCAAAAAAACCAAAAACCAAAAAAACAAAAACAAACCCAAAAAAACCCCAGCCTCTTACTATGCTTTGGACACCATCTATAGGGCACTTAAAAGTTTGTAGAGTGAGACTTCTTTAAATGCAGCAGCGATTGGAACCATGATATGCCAGCAGCATAAGATGTTGTGCAGTTAAAACATTTTATGAAGAACTATTGTTTTGTAGTTCAATTCTTGGGGGGGAGAGGGAAGGAGGAGCATACGAACATCACAAGATCAGTATAATTTTTTTGTTGCTCTGTAAACAATAACTAAGTTCATCCAGTTCTGAAGTATTAAGGCACACTTCTGAGAATTAAAATGGCCAAAATATGAAGACATTTGTTAACTGCTGGAGTAATAGTTCCTTTAGGCAGTAAGGAGTAAGGAGACAAGAGGGCATAGGGCCTGGGTTTGTATTCCACCACAGATATTCCTGGGTGACTAACACTTAGCTGGGGCCTAATTTCTGTTCTTTAAGGATCAGCTGATTCAGCTACCAACTCTAAGAGCTGAAGTTCTGAACCTGGGCAGGTGGTGAGGGCTCTGTAAAGGTGCAGCTCAGGGCTGGGTCAGCCAGGTGGACAAGTCCCCTGTTCAGCAAAGCAGCAGGCTTTAGCTGTGTTAGGCAATTAATGGTACTGAGCTTTTACTTCACATTATGGATCATACCAACTGAAAATAAAGTCTTATTTAACTTGTAATATATTTTCATGCTTTGCAGGCAGAGATAGAAACTAGCCAGAACTGTTTATAGCCGCAGTAAAGATTTCACATACAGTGTACTTATTCTAGATCTCAATTTTCCTTTTTGGATATATTTCCTTACTTCCCTTTTACATTTAAACAGCTAACATCTGCACAGTGCCACAGTGCCCAAGCCTCTGTAATATAAGCTTTTGTTGATGGTTTCTTTGCAGATGGCTATTCCTATGAAAGGGAAGCAATGGAAAACTGGATCAGCAATAGACGATCTAGTCCCATGACTAATCTTCCTCTCCACTCTCTTATGCTCACACCAAACAGAACACTAAAAATGGCCATTAGTCGCTGGCTAGAGACTCAGCAGAAATAGTTAAACCACTTAATTTTGAAGTTGTTTGTTAAAATTAATTGAAATTTTATGCATCTGGAGGAATTAATTGTATCAGAAACAAATGGAAAGAAAAACTTGTGTTGCTCTTCTCTCTGTGGCTGGTTCAACCTTCACTGGTGGAAACTCCCAGAAGAACTTTAAGATCCTGGTAGTTCTACTTTGTGGTATTTCTGTTTAAGAATCAAGTACTTGAACTCAGTTTTTCAAATAAATTTTTCTTATAATTTTTACTACGAGTTTTGAGTATTCATCTTGCCAAGTCAGTCTTTCAGAAGGTAAGAAACAGCAAAGTATAGGATCTGTGTTTCTTTTTCTACTCTAAAAAACCAAAATGTGACTGTCTTTTTCTGTTCCCCATTACTGGACATGTAGTTGGAAAAGCTGGGAGAGAGTTTCTCCTGTAACCATCAGGGACCGCATCTCATCCCATAGGTATATTAATAATCTTTATTTTGTATGGAAAGAGTACAGTAGCTGTGCAAAAATAGAACTACAGGACAAGACTAATATAGGACTTGTACAAAATGTCAAAGAAACAGTAAACAATAAATAAGCTAAAGTGTAATGATACAAACTGCAAAAGGATGTGTACAGCTGGGTACAGCTGTTTACAATGTACAGAGAATACTGTAATTAAGCATGATGGGAAGAGTATAAAGCTGAGCACTCCAACTGAATTGCACTCATAGGAATGTCACTGCAGCAGTTAATTTTCAGTAAGTTCTTGCCAATAAAATTCCTCATCTCCTTAAAAAACCAACTTCTCAACTTCATCCTGTCATGCAACTGCACATACTGTTCCTCAAACTTTCACGTTCACTCCATCCCTTTCTTGGGTTTCCCACAAAAACATTTACTAAGCATTTAGTTATTGTACCTTTTCACAAATAAACAATAAATCATTTTGCTTTAAGATAGCACCCAAAGGTGATTAGATACCCTATATAAAGTGCGATTATTGTTAATAGGCCATAATATTGTGTTCTTCAGTGCAATAACCAATATGGTCAAAGCCTCTCAATACACATGCAAATGTCACTCATTTTATTTAATTTCTTCTATTTACTAAAAATAGTTATATTTACACATCAAAGCATGGCTGCGTAGTTTACTCATACACAAATTATTTATGCTTCCTAAATGCACATCATGCAACTCAAATTAGGTCCCACTAGAAAAGTGATAAAATAATTTGATTTTTAAAAAATACATGCATGTACAGATCTGAGTATGCTGCAGCAGATTATCTCTCTTAGCACTGCTGTGAGACATCAGCACGTAAGCATTTGAGAGGTGTGAGTACTATGTGCGAGATGCAAGAGAACCAAAAGCCAAGATTGAAGCCATAGGTGAAAGGCTTATTTAATGGTAACATGTAATGGAAAAGATTTCTCTGCTTAAGCTCCTAGGCCAACCTAATCAAGTCTTTCTACACTCTTTTGTTATTCCAGTTACTGTCACTGCCCTGTGATGGTAGGAACAGTTGGAAGTGGTTGCATCCCATTAAAGACTGTTCCCTGGGACCCAGCCATGCCGAGGCAGTCAGTGTTTTGTAGAGCAGTCAAACCCTGTGATGCTGTGAGCCCAGTCTACCCCGTCAATATACAGAACAGTATTTATACATTTGATTCAATGAATGATCGCTTTGGTTTTGCCGTGGTGATGTGACTGAGGTGGCTGTCCTGAGTGCTGTGGGATGGCAGTTTGGCTACAGCATCGGGGTACAAATGAGAACCTTGGTTGGGTGATCTGCTGTCTGTACAGTGGGGAGGGATTTGGCAAGTGAGCTCCTCACGTTCTTTTGCTTGCATGCTGCTCTGGCTGCCATCTCCCAGGGCAGCACCTGTAGAGGATCCCTTAGCTGAGTAGTGTTTAACTGAGAACTGCTCCAAGTTGGAGGGCTGAATGCTTGCACAAGCAACATTTGTGGATAATCCACCTGCTGTCTGAGAGTGCCAAGTGCGACTAGACTGTGTGTTTTGCTGCTGAAACCTTGCAGTCTTGTCCATGATTCCCATAAATGGGGTATTACGAGGTCGGTGCTCAGTGCCCTGAGCTTGACTGATGTTGGTCTCCTTGAGTCGAACATCTGGGCCCAGCCCCTTAACACTGCCTGACAAACTGCTGGCTGAAGTGAAGCTGCCTGATGAGCTGGTAAGAATCACACTACTGCATGGAGAGCCAGAAGAGCCACCACTGGGTACAGGGCTTTGCTGCCTTGAGTCACTGAAATTCATTGGAGCAGAGGCTGTTGATGTGTCAGGTTTAGATTTACTAGCAAAAGAACGAGAAGAGAGAGTCTCATAATGCTGTGGATGTGAATGCTGGCTGGACACAAACTTCTCACTGTGCAGTTCTGCAGTGAGATCTGTGGAGATGCCTCCAGATGACAATGTGCTTGTCCCATCTACCTGTTGACTTCTACAGTGCCGGATAGGCAAGGGACTGTGGGGAAGATGCTGCAAAGATGATTGTGGCTTGGTGCTACACTGACTGCTTCCTTGTTTAGATCCAGGCTGGATGGAGCTCAGATGCTGATTAGTTTTTACAATCTGTGCCTGCTTTGTTGGCTGCATGATCAAGCCTGGCTCTCTCAGGTACTTGTTGCTTGTTCGGCTATGAGGGGACACACACTGAGCTTTCTGAACACCTTCTTGAAGGGTCCTGCTAAATAATGATGCAGCTGAGGAACACTGCAGCCTTTGTGGAGGAGAAATAGATTCATTGGGGTGTGGCAGTTCATCTTCCTTGTCTTGAAGATTAAAATTATCATTCACGCTTTGTACAATTCCTTCCTCCTCATTATCAGAATTGTTGGTTTGTTCAAGTAGCTGTGGAGACTGATGCTTCTGTTGCTGTGTTCTCTGGAGCTGTTTGCACTCCTCTTCCACCCGAGCCAAGAGACGTTTTATCTCCTGATTGCTGGGGCATATCTGAGTGGCTTCCCGTAGGTCAGCGAGAGCCGCAAGTAGTTTTCTGTTTAGGAAGAAGCAAGTAAACTATGAAAATTGGGGCAAATCTGTGTCCCTGCATTACCTATGACTAATCCACCTCCACCCTTTCAGCAAAATGTCCTGATTTGTTGCTTCCTGATGCAGGTGGTGACAAATTAGAACTGCAAGTTCTCCACCTCAGGAAATTCTTAACTAGGGTGGAAGTGCAGACCCAACCCTAAACACTTCCCTAAAGTATCCTGACATCCCATGCAGGCAGGCAGAACTCTCTGCTGGGAACACCAGGAACTGACACTTTGTCTCACAAGCTCTTCCACAATTACCTCCAGAGTAGGGAACCTGCTGAACTCTGCTTCATGACCATTTATTGGTATGTTCAGAAAAGACATGGTGAATCAAAAAGGCACCTCTTCCTGTATTTCAGCTATACCACCATAGTTTGTTATTCTTTCAACCTAAAGAGATAGTTCCTCCTCTCTTCCCCTTATTTTTGTCTTCAGCTGCTGATTCATCATATTCTTTCCTATCAAAGCAGCCAGTAATAAATCATAAGCTTGGCAATAAATAATGATGTGCTGGAGCTGGGTGACACACTGGTGGTCACATTCTGCTGAATTGTGTGGAGCAGCAGACCCATTCACTGTTACATTTAAAATAATCCCTCTTCAAATGAATTCGTTACTTTCTGGACTGCCTCATAAATACTTACAGAGTATTCAGTATCACTATTTAGATGTGGTTGGCTTTATCTGATAAGAGAGATCTAGTACAGATGCAAAGTGCATTACAAAATAGGTTTTTCTTTGCAAATTTGAAATGTAACTAGCATAAAAGAACAAGTTATTAAAAATGGCAAGTTAAAAAAAAAAATCTCTGCAGACATGCAAAGACTCTAACAGTACCTGCTGTTCCTCTTGGCTCTTGCTCTGGCATAATAGGCTTCATAACACTTAGGCTTCAGATCCAAGGCTTTTGTAGCAAACTCTTCAGCCATTCCAAAATCCTAATAAAGGAAGCAAACATGCTCGTTACACAGCACCAGTCAAAGCAAGCTGCCAGCTGCAGGTCCTGCTCTGGCTCCAGGGGCGCAGCCAGCGCATGTGGCAGAGGCTCCTGCTCCAGTCTGCAAGAGCAGGTATTTGCTCAAAGCACACACAGGCACAGCCATGGCACCTGGTTGTGCTGGTTGATAACAAAGGTAGCAGTGTTTTTCATTCAGTCTTTTAAAAGTACCACAAAGATCCAGTAGTTCATCATTCCACGATCACTGCATGATGTAAGACCAGCTGTAATAGATCCCCTGCAGCAACACTCCCTCATCTTGCAAGCTACCTATTTACTGACGTGATAAAGCCCAAGATCAGGATATAGTGAAAAGGATTCTAAAATAGCATGGATAGATGCCCACATACAACCCCAGTAATGCAGTAGGATGTAAGTCTGAGATTCCCAATGTCCAAGAGGCAGCAGACCGACAACTTACATTTGTTTTGCGGCGACATCGCGACAAGTTCAGGTATAATGAAACTCTCAGCTCAGTGAAGGCTTTAATTTCCTCACCAAACCCTTCCCTTGGGAACTTCCTCAATGCATACTGATAGCGCTGTGCTGCTTCCCTCATCTTGCCTTTCTGCAAATTTTTGGGAACAAGAGATTTTTCACAAACTTTTAATATTGCAATACTATTGCCAAAAAGCATATTTATATTTGACATCTACCAAGAGCTGCCCTTCAAGTAGAAAACACAGAGACAGATTTTTTAATAAATATTCACAGTATGAACTATGCTGTCAGAAATGCACAATGACAGCCTGCATGTTAATCAGAGTTTGTGTCCCTTTCTGAAATCAAATGTTTAATGGTATTTGACAAAGATAATACTTGAAACTAATATGTATTGCTAGTACCAGAAAAAAAATCATATAATCTGATCTATTACTACTCTGTTCAAAATACTAATAGATCAGATTACATAATTGAAAAGGAGGCATACAGGCATTCAGTCTACCTTCAAGCAGAAGTCCAAGGTTCTGCTGCCAGAAAAAAAGAAAAATCTACCTACTTTATAGAGCGTATTTCCTTCTTCCATCAGTTTCTGCAGAAGAATCAGGAGAATATCGGGTTTGGATGTGGCCATTGCCCATGCTGCATTTCCTGCAAGTTAAAAGGGAAGAAAATGTGTTTCTGTTGTCTACTACAGTAGAAAGCCTGGCCCTCCCTACTTCAGTATATAGTCCACCTATATGGAACCAGTATTACTATTATCATCATTACTAGGG